TCCAGCCCACCAGCCCGCAAAAGAGAAGCAAGCTGCTTGTCTTGTCCTATCTCCACAGTGCACTGCCAGAGACCTTGACAGGAGACTCTGTAGGGATTATCCATCCCTCGGACTCAAAGGTCCATCTCAGACCTGCATCCCTTTTCCCCCTGCAGAACTGAGCTCAGCAGGAGGGGCCAGCAGGATCTGGGAATGCAAATCAAGGCAGCCCTCTGTTGGGTGTGGTGCAGGCCCAGGGGAGGGGAGCAAGCTTCACGCCTTCTCTGAGCAACAGAGAAGCATGCTTCCAGAGATCCTGGCACAGGAGTCTTCTGTTGAGGGTAGCACATGCCTAACCTATGGGAGAGGGAAAGATTGGCCCTTGTTCCAAAGCCACTCTTATCAAGGACCATTTGAGAATCTGCCTGTAGTTTTTCCAGAAACAGTGCACCAAAAGGTCCCAATTGAGTGCATCTAACAGTCCTCTCTTCTGGACTCAAACTTGGCAAGCACACAGACCTTGCTAAGTTTCCCCATTTACTACATTCAACTTGCACCCCCTTTGTCCTGTTGTATTTCTCCACACTGCCCACTCTCCATCAAATCTGGCATATAAACCATTCCTTGGGCTCTTAATTTCCTCAGTAAGCCTCCTTGTTGGAGTCCACCCTGCCTGGTCTCAGGAAGCTGTAACCCCCGTAACTTAGGCTGAGTGAGAGACCTCCGAACCAGGAGCCACTAAGGAGACAAAACTTATTTCCCTGCCATGAACACTGCCTATTCTGTGCCTGGCCTCCTATGCTTGATCAGTTAGCCAATGATGGGTAAGATTTCCCATGGGGCGGTGGCGGGGGGGGAATAATCTAAGACAGGCATGATCACGAGGAGGCCTCAGGGAAGAGACTCAGGGCTGTGGAAATGAAGGGGTGATCAACATCAACCCCTGCCCCCTCGGCTTTGTCAAAGCCTGAGTCCTTGTTCTTAGTTGTGAGATATCCAAGTCTCCTGGCTGCCTTTGTCTCCTCTGCCTGACTCAGGCCTGTGGAAATAACAGGGGCGGTGCAGTCCAGACCAGAGTTGGTGGACCCCCAGGGTAATCAGGCCTGTGACATAGAATATTCAAGATCCTGTGAGATCTGCTTGCTGGAGGATGCTATTGAATTAGAATATGAAGGCATGGGCAGGAGACAAGACTAGCCTTTTAGGTCCTGTAGTCCTTTTAAGTGATAAAACACAAACTCCCAGCCCAGAATCCCAGCGGGAGTTCTGTTGAACCCTTTGAAAACTACCTACTTGTTTGATCTTCCCTGCCAGACTGGAATCCACAAACTGTGTCTGTATGCTTAATAAAAGCCTGCTTGGGTGGGAAAATGGGGCGTTCTCCACTAGAGAGAGTGGCTGTTTCATCCCTATTTCTCCACAGGACCTGGTTGTCCCTGTGTATGTTTTTCTCATGTTTCCACAAGCCATCTGCAGAGTTCCGCAGTCACTGCAGGCCGGTGGCCGCATCACTTCCTGTGTCCTATAAAACTTCTGTTAAGTCAATTTGTGTGCTTTTCTCCTGTTGATCTTTCTCAGTTTAATTTTCAGACCCAAAAGGCACTCTAAAAGGGTCCAGGAAAACTTTTCCCTCCCTTGCACTCTGGTCTGTGCTATGCAAGGAATGGGAAAAAAATCATACTCTTTAGTTCCAAAGGGTGTCTGACATGAATTTTAAAATTATTTTGCTCCTTAAAAATTTATGTAGTGATAGAAACAGCAGTAATTGGGAGTCGGACAGAACTTGGAGTGAATCTCTTGTTCAGTTCTAACTGAACAAATAATTAAACTTCCAGGCCTCATGAATGACACAAGTAAAAAAGGATAATAAAAATCAAAATCACCTGAACAAAGGAATTGGGTACCAACAAGTAAATAAAGGCCCAGAGAAGAACTGCAGGATATCCTTGGGCAAGGATTTAAAAAATAAAGAACAGAACTTCTGGTCAAGATGGAGGCATAGATAAACTTGCTTCACCTCCTCACACTACTACAGAAAACATTACAAAAACTACACTACAAAACAAATATCACCCAGAACTGTCAGAAAATTGAGCTGCATAGAAGTTTGGCAACCAAGGACTTAAAGAAGCCACATTCATCCATACAGATGCAGGGGGAGAGATGTGGAGACGGGCAGAGAGGCACAGAGGGGAAAGAGTTGTGGAGGCTGTGGTGGGGCATAGAGAGGTGGCAGAACAGGTGGTCCCACATTCATCTGTGGTGGATAAAAATTGGGAGGGATACCTCAGGAGTGAGGGATCCCAGCCCCAAACCAGACCACACAGCCTAGAGTTCCAGTACCAGGCAGATAAATCCCCACAACTTCTGACTGTAAAAACCAGTGGGAGTTGAGGAAGCATAAGAAACTGCCGTATTCTCAACAGATTCCTCTTAAAGGGCCCGCATGGACTTAGGGCTTACACAGGCCCACCCCCTCTGGGATTCAGCACCATAGCTACAGCTGGAAGGGCACAAGTGGTATACAAGGAAAAGCAAAGTGACTGGAAACAGGGCAAGTGCCAGGAAAGAGATTCATCCTGGGAAAAACTCCAGAAGCCAGGCAAGGGCATTGTCCCCTCTCTGAGCCCTCCACCACACAAAGCCACTAAGCAGTATCAAGGGTTTTCCACCCTGGCAATTACCTAAGGCTCTGCCCCATACAATTTACAAGTACACTCTTCTACAGTAGGCCTGGGACTCAAAGTGATTCTACTTAATACAAAGAAAAAAACACAGGGAGGTTTCCAAAATAAGGACACAAAGAAATATGGCCCAAATGGAAAAAAAAAAGAACAAATTCTAGAAAAATAACTAGATGAAATGGAGATAACCAACCTACCAGATGCAGAGTTCAAATCAGGATGCTCAAAGAACTCACTGAGTATGGCAACAGCATAAAAAAGATCCAGGCAGCAATGAAATTACATTAAATGAAATAAAGAAAAATCCACATGCAAGCAACAGTGAAGGGAAGGAAACTAGGACTCAAATCAATGATTTGGAACATAAGGAAGAAAAATCATTCAATCAGAACAGCAAAAAGAAAAAATAATTTGAAAAAAACAAAGATAGACTAAGGAGCCTCTGGGACCTCTTCAAATGTACCAACATCCAAATCATAGGGGTGCCAAAATGAGAAGAGGAAGAGCAATAAATTGAAAATTTATTTGAAACAACAATGAGAGAAAACTTCCCTAATTTGGTAAAGGAAATAGACATATAATTCCTGGAAGCACAGAGAGTCCCAAACAAGTTGGACCCAAAGAGGACCACACCAAGACACATCATAATTAAAGTGCCAAAGGTTAAAGAGAAAGAGAGAATCTCAAAAGCAGCAAGAGAAAAGAAGGTGGTTATCTACAGAGGAGTTCCCATAAGACTATCAGCTGATTTCTCAAAGAAACTTTGCAGGCTAGAAGGGACTGGCAAGAAGCATTCAAAGTGATGAAAATCAAGGACATATAACCTATATTGCTCTATTCATCAAAACTATCTTATAGAATGGAAGGGCAGATAAAGTGCTTCCCAGACATGGTTAAGCTAAAGGAATTCGTCATCACCAAGCCATTATTACATGAAATGGTAAAGGGGCTTATCTAAGAAAAAGAAGATCAAAACTATGAACATTAAAGTGACAACAAACTCACAACTATCAACAAATGAATCTAAAAAACAAACTAACCAAACAAGCAGAACAGGAACTGAATCATTGACATGGAAATCACATGGAGGGTTATCTGCTGGGAGGGGGATAGAGAAGGATGGGGGAAAAAGAGCAGGGATCACAAAATATAAATTGGTATGTACAAAATAGACAAGGGGATATTAAGAACAGTATAGGACATGTAGAAGCCAAAGAACTTGTATGCATAACCCAAAGACATGTACTAAGAAGGGAGTTCCTAGAGGGAATGGGGATCCCAGGCAGAAGGGGACAAAGAAGGAAAAAAAGGAACAACTCTAGCAGGATAATCAATAAAATATATTTTTAAAAATAAAAAATAAATAAGTAAATCATATGACCTCCAACAAATGCAGAGATTAGATGAATAGGAGCATCTGCCTCATAGCAGGAACTTAATGAACATTAGGGCCTTCTCACTAATAACATATATGTGCCTGAGAGGTAATAATGTTCTAAGACTTAAATGACCCACTTACCACTTTACAGGTTAACTTCTTGATTTATTCAGAATCTTACACTAGACTTTGGGGAAAATGATAGAAAAGAAACATGTTTCCATGAAAGACTTTGGATGTGAATTTGGGAAATAAAAAACACCCTACTTGCTGAATTTCCACACTCGATGGCTCTCTGCTAAGAAAAGTAAACAAATTGTGGTCATTTTGACTAAAATACAAAGAGTTATTATCATATTTTTCAGACTATAAGACGCACCACACCACACCACACCCCCCACCCAATTTGTGAGGAATAATGGTTGTTAATGCTGCTGTTGAGTTCTGTTTACATTTACATTGGTGAAATATTGTGTTATTTATGTTATTAAATATTTTACCACATTTTTTGCTTCAAAAGTTTTCCCCCTATTTTCCTCCTTTAAAACCTAGATGCATCTTATGGTCTAAAAAATATGGTAAAAAAATTTTAAAAATAACAAAAGCAAAAGTCAGATTACAAACAGTGTTTCTCTTCTTGGCACTTTGGTAGAAACTGTGGAAACTTATCTTTATAACTGCTTATCTCATGTTGTTCTTTGAACCTGTTTCATAGCGTGGCTAGAGGGATTTTTGAATGATGTGTGTTGTGCAGCTGCACAAACTACATGCAGCAAACTGCAGCATACTACAAAATATGTAATGTTGGGACAGAAACAGATTATGGAAGTCCAGAAAAAGACACACACATTGGGAAGCACAGGTCAAGACCAGATCTGACTGAAGAGTCCCAAATGGCACTGTTGGCCCCTGAAGGAGATGACAGCCGGGCTGCAGATGCCCTCCTCTCCTATTTGCTGTTACTTCTTTTGTACTTCTCTGTCACCTAGCAGCAGCCTCCTTAGTGCCCCCTTCACCTCTCTGTTTCTGAGGGTGTAGATCAGGGGGTTCAAAAGTGGCGTGACAATATTGTAGAGGAGGGTGAGGAATTTTCCCTGGTTCTGAGAAGAGTTGTTTCCCGGCTGCATGTACATGTAGATGATGTTCCCATAGAACAGAGAGACCACTGTGAGATGAGAGCCACAGGTGTTGAAGGCCTTTTGCCTCCCTGATGCTGACTGAATATGTAACACAGCCCTTATGATGTAGCCATAGGAGACCAGGATAAACACCAGGGGTGACAGCACAATACCCACTGCCAGGACAAAGACAGTGCCCTCGATGGCAGTTGTATTGACACAGGCCATCCGGATCAAGGCAGGCATCTCACATAAGAAGTGGTCCACACTGTGGCGCCCGCAGCGTGGTAAATTCAGGGTAACTGGGGACATAGCCAGGGAGTTGGCCACCCCACCACCCCAGGCCACCAACACTAATCCCATGCAAAGGCGAGGATTCATGATCACCAGGTAGTGCAGGGGGTTGCAGACTGCAACAAACCGGTCATAGGCCATGACAGCCAGGAGCAGGCACTCCACGCCACCCAGACCCAGAAACAGAAAGAGCTGGATGGCACAGCCTGTGTAGCTGATGGTTTTGTCATGTCCACTCAGGTTATAGAGCAGCTGAGGGATTGAACTGCTGGTGAAGCTGAGGTCCAGGAAGGAGAGGTGGGTGAGGAAGAAGTACATAGGGCTCTGGAGCTGGTGGTCCAGCCGGGAGACCAGGATGATGGTGGTATTTCCCACAATGGTCAGGAGATATGCAGTCAAGATGACCACAAAGAGGATCCTCTCCAGATGGGGGTGGTCAGAAAATCCTAAAAGGATGAAATTTCCTTGAGTGCTATCGTTGGTTCCGTCCATATCTACTGCACCTGAAAAGGAATATTTATACCAATAATGGTAACATGTTGGGAACCACCCTGTCTGGTTTCAGAAGCTGTAACCCCCATGGCTCAGCCTGAAAAAAAGACCTTGGGACCATAAGCCACTAAAGAGAAAAAGCTTATTTTTTCAGCAGGGGTGCTGCCTCTGTCCCCTTCACTTCACCCTGCTTGGCCCCAGGTGGATGACTGGTTAGCCAATGACAGGTAAGATTCCAGGAAAAGACACACACATTGGGAAGCACAGGTCAAGACCAGATCTGACTGAAGAGTCCCAAATGTCACCATTGGCCCCTGAAGGAGAAGACAGGCACGGTAATGATGGGGCCCTCAGGGAAGAACTTGGGGGGCTACAGAAAAAGGGGGTTATGCACACTCACCCCTCGGCTTTGACATAGCCTGAGTCCTCATTCTGCCTGTGAAAAGTCTCCTAATCTCTTGGCTGCCTTACTTCCCCTGCCTGACTTAAGCCTGAAACAATGCCAGAGGGTGGTACAGACCTGGGCAGGAACAGACAGTTCCCCAGGGCAATCAGGCCTAAGAAAGAATGCATAAAATCCTGTGAAACTTGCTTTGCTAAAAATGCCCTCAATTTTCTAATAAGGGTCCAAGCATAAAATGAGTTCATTTCCCAAAGTTGTATGGCCCTTTAGCTATCTGACCCTGACTCAGAATTAGCCCTCATAGTTCTTTGAATGTTATCTATTATTTGATCATTACTGCCTGACAATGATTAATGAGCTTTACTGTATTTCTGTGCAAGTGGAACCCAATAAAAGCCCATTGAGGAACAGGCTCAAGGCCCTTCTCCTTGGAGAGGTTAGCCACCTTTCCTCCCCAAGCAGATCATGTCTTGGTAGACTTACCCTTATCCACACAACAGCAGGCGGGCAGGTGGGGGGGCAGGGGGGCCTCTGCTGGACAAAGCTCCCCCACAGTAACAGACAATATAAGGCAGTATTACTATGAACCAAGTGTTCCTCCATGCTTTTTACATTTATTTAACCCCAACAATAGTGATATGGAGTTGACAGTCTTATCATCCTAGACTTACAGAAAAGAAAATTGAGGCAGATGTGTGTTAAGTGAATAATCATATTCTAAAAAAGGCAGAGCTGGTTTTGAACCAAGGAAATAGGGCTTGAAGTCTTCATTCTTCACTGCTGGTAATGCTTCTAATTCCAATGACAAAAAGATAAATCTTGGCATGGCCCAGACATTGGTTTTTCATGAAACACAAGTTCCTGAGCTCCTGCTAAAACTTTGAAGGCCCAAAATGGAATCCTGGAATAATAAATTAATAGTATTTAGGAAATATATATTATATGCAGAATACCTTATTTGTTCTTTAACTTAAAGACACATCTCACTCATTTGACCATTAGTCTTGAGGTAAGTTTCAAGTACCCAAATAAATTACAATATAAGAAACAATTGAATATTACTAAAGCAACACACACATAAAATTAATATATATATATATATATATTTCTTCCAAAGTACTATATGCTGCTTTGTAAGAGGTGATGCAACTTTAATGCAATAATTTGCATACACATGCTAAAACCTCTATCAGATTGCATTGCTGAGAGTTCATCACCTTCAAGCAAAGTATGTTTGAGGACAAAAGTCCAAGTCTTACAGACAATATAGAGGAATCAATAGAAAACATCCCCCACCATGCTGTCAGTTACCATCCCTTAGCCAACAAGATACATTAAGAGACCTCAGAAAGTTCCCAACCTTTTCAGTTTTCTCATCTAAAATGGTACTCACCAAACTACCTTATTTATTTTGTGGATGTTTTGATATTTTAAATTTAAACGTTGGTAAATATGAAAGTATACTGCATAAAGCTTATGTGTCATATGCACATGGGAATGGGAAATTAGGCCCATGTGACTAGGCAGAGAAATTCTGGAAAAAAAAAGTCTAATGAGAAACTATCCTTAACATATATTCAAACATACTTTGAAAATGTAATAAACCATGATAATCAGAGATGCATTTGGAGTCAGGGAGTGTGAATCACTCATTCACTACTTTCACCAAAATAAATAACAAATCAAATATTTTAACATTAAATATTACTATTATAAGAAGGCACAAAGGTTGTACCCTCCTTCTTTCCCTGATCATCTTGGATTTAGACAGGCCTCACTAGACAAATCGCAATTCTCAAAAGCAATCAAACAAAGTACAAATAAATTTGCATACTTTAATAAATCTATGCTATGAGAAACACCACTAAAAAGTATAAAGAATAATGAAAATACTAGAGAAATTCAACATGACAATTGTAAGACTACCTTGTTTAATAACATTTTCAAACAATTGGCAAGAAAATATGGAACAAAATGAAAATATTATCACTTGAAGAAGTAGTTTACTGGAAAAGTGATATAAAAACATGACTTAAAAACATGAGAATTTTTCTCACTGATAATTAAAGATATAAAATTAAAATATAAATGTTAAGATAGATTTACCTTTTTTAAATAGATAAGTGCCAGGAAATACACCAATTCTCTTGAACTCTATAATGTAGAGGAATCTTAAGAAAAGATTATTAATTGAAATGGATAGTTCAGGACAATATATATATTTAAAGTTGTAGAAATGATTAATAGTGGATTTTCTCATGTACTGATACACCAAGGATTTGGAGAAAGCAGCCCAGGAGTTCCAGCCACAATGGAGACATAGGTAGAAATGCTTCACTTCCTCACACAACCAAAAGAAGATCAACAAATTTAAAAACAAAAAACAACCAGAACCTCCAGATATTCAAACTTCATGGAAGTCCAACAACCAAGGAGTTAAAGAAACATTCACTCAGCCTGGTAGGAGGGGCGGAAATGGGCAGCTGAGGTGGAGATGACTCACAGCCAAGGAGGTGGCTCGTTGACCAGTTGGTCTCACATTCATGGGCCGATATGCTGGGAAGAACCATTGGGAAGTGAGACAGACCATGGAACCCAGGGTTTCAGCCTGGAAAACTAAACACTCAAAACCTCTGGATATAAAAATCTGTGGGAGTTTTGGCAGTGGGAGAAACTCTCAGATTCACAGGAGAGTCCATGGGAGGCCCACAGGGTCCTAGAACATACACAAATCCACCCATCTGTAAGTCAGCATCTGAAAAGCCACAATCCACTTGTGGGAAGTGAGGGAAGTGACAGAGAGTAGGGCTAGAGCAGAGTCAGCAAATGGCATTGTCCCTGTCTGACCCCTCTCCTACAGACAGCACCACAACAGCAGCAAGGAGGGTCGCCCCGCCTTGGTGAATTCCTAAGGTTCTGCCCCTTACAACATAACAGGTGTGCCAAGACAAAGAAATATGGCCCAAATGAAAGAACAAATCAAAACTCCAGAAAAAGAACTAAGTGACAAGAAGATAGACAACCTATCTGATGCAGAGTTCAAAACACTGGAAATCAGGATGTTCACAGCGATGATTGAGTTCAGTTGCAAAATGAAGAAAGAAATGAAGGCTAAACAAAGTGAAATAAAGGAAAATATACAGTGAACCAAAAGTGAAAGGAAGGAAGGTGGGACTCAAACCAAGGATTTGAAACAAAATAAACATCCCACTGAAACAGAATGAAGAAACAAGAATTCAAAAAAATGAGGAGAGGCTGAGAAAGCTCTGGGACAACTTTAAATGCTCCAACATCTGAATCATAGGGGTGCCAGAAGGAGAAGAGGAAGGGCAAGAAATTAAAAACTTATTTGAACAAATAATGAAGGAAAACTTCCCCAATCTGGCAAAGGAAATAGACTTCCAGGAAGTCCAGGAAGTTCAGAGAGTCCCAAACAAATTGGACCTAAGCAGGGACTCACCAAGACACATCATAATTAAGTTACCCAGGATTAAAGATGTGGAGAAAATTTTAAAAGCAGCAAGAGAAAAGGAAACAGTTACCTATAAAAGAGTTCTCGTAAGACTATCAGCTGATTTCTCAAAAGAAACCTTACAGACAAGAAGAGACTGAAAAGAAGTATTTGAAGTCATGAAAGGCAAGAACCTATATCCAAGATTATTCTATCCAGCAAAGCTATCATTTAGAATGGAAGGGCAGATAACGTGCTTCCCAGATAAGGTCAAGTTAAAGGAGTTCATCATCACCAAGCCTTTATTATATGAAATGTTAAAGGGACTTACCTAAGAAATACAAGATGATCAAAGATATGAACAGTAAAATGACAACAAACTCACAACTATCAACAACTGAACCTAAAAAACAAAAACTAGGCAAACAACTAGAACAAGAATAGAATCACAGAAATGGAGATCGCATGAAGGATTATCAGTGGCAAGGAGGAGAATGGCAGGGGGAAAGGTACAGGGAATAAGAAGCATAATAGGTAGGCACAAAATAGTCAGGGAGATGTTAAGAATAATGTAGGAAATGGAGAAGTCAAAGAACTTATATATACAACCAATGGACATGAACTAAGTGGTAGGGAGGAATGCTGGAAGGTGGTGAGGTGCAAGGAGGAGGGGGATAAGGAAAAACAGAAATGATTAATAAATAATGCCAACTTTATAAACTAAAAACAACTACTAAATGGAAATAAGCATACATATGTGATTTTTGCCAAAAGTCAAATTCAAACAAATGGAAAATAAAATATAAAGTATGAGGAGATAATATGTAGCGTCATCCCACTTTTTGGTCACAAACTCTCTAGGTATGTATATTTATATTAAAATAATTACAATACCTAAACATATACACTGAATTGTTAAAGACATTTGCAGAAAGTGAGATGGAGTTTGAGAATTTCATTTTATATAATTCCTACTTTATTAAATAGTAATAATTATGAATTATTATGAAATTTAAAAATAATATGTAAGCCCTAGCTGGTGTAGCTTAGTGGATTGAGCCCTCGCCTGCAAACCAGAGGGTCACCGGTTCGATTCCCAGTCAGAGCTCATGCTCAGGTTGTGGGCCAGGTCCCCAGTAGGGAGCA